AGTTAACGTGTCTAATTATGTATAATGATTATTCTAGCCTTTTAGTCATATTAATCTTCATGCAAGCATTTCCCTTCACGAATTTCAATAAAGCAAGAAGAAATAACATTATAACAGAATTTACTGAATTCAGTAATTTCGCGTATTCTCCTCAGCTGTTTACATACAATGAGTGGAAAACAGTGCGATGTTAACAGCAAAAAATCCAAAGCGGTCGAAGGTCTTTAGGCTCACGTGACCTGTTCCGATGAAAACGCAATCGCTAGCCTTACCAGGGTAGGGCTAGTGTGGTCACGAAATCCGTTTGCTTGCATAGCTTTGGCTTCAGCCGCCGAATTGCTGCCGCCTCCGCAAACTGTAGTAAACGGGGATTAGCCTGTTTGCTAACTACCCTGAAATTGCCACGTGGGTTCTGGCATTCAGGGCAGTCTAGTATGTGGCGGGCAATAGAGCTACTTGGTAGCTTCGGACCCTTAGCAATCATGTTTCGCGGAACATGCTCTGCAATCCTCGCTGACAGCCTTCTCTCAGTTCGGCCTACGTACTTGCTACCGCAAGTACAATTAAAGAGGTAAATGCAAGAGGCGGTAACTTGGGAGTCTGGTCTGTCCAGGTTGGATTTACAGAGCAGCCTTCTGACTTGATGCAATACCACTAGCTCAGCCGCATGGTAACACTTCTTAATCGATTGACGGAGGCGATGCCTGCATCTTCGGTCAACTTGATCTCCTTTGAAGGGCAGTGTAATGAATACTTCTTTTTTGGGACATCTGTTGGTGGTTTATCTCCGGATCGTACTTTCGCGTGCCGAGTTATAATTCGCGCTGGATACCCATTCTCTTGTAGCGTCAAGGTGACTCGTTCTAGTTCATGTTCGATTGTGTCTAATGAGCAAATTTGGCGAGCTCTAGCAAAAGTGGTACGTACTAGAACTCGTTTATAGTTCATTGGGCAAAAGCTATTAAAGTTCAAGTATTGCCCCGTCCATGTTGCTTTTCTGTACACAGATCGAACGAGTGTACCATCTGGCTTTCTCTGTAAGTTAACATCTAAGAAGTCGAAAGGTCCGTCGGACGCGTTTTCCATTGTGAACTTGATGGCTGGATGGCAAATATTCATCAGTTTCAGTAAGTGCGCCGCCTGTTCAGGTGTGTCAACGACGATGAATGTGTCGTCTACATACCGGCAATAAAGGTGTACATTTTGTAGGTAAGAAGCTAACACAGTGTTTTCCAAGTTTCCGAGGAAGATATCAGCCAAAACTGGGCCCAGTGGGCTGCCCATGGCCACGCCGTCGATTTGTCGATACAGGGTTCCATTGAACCGGAATTGAATATCTTTTGTGCATAGGCGCAGTAATGATTTGAGCTGGAGCGCTGGGAACCCAACTTTATCAGCGTGTCTGGCTATTATATCTAGTGTTTCTTCCAAAGGTACGTTCGTGAACAATGATGATACATCGAAAGAAACCATGTGTTTTCCCTTTACATTCAAATTACTTATCTTGTTGACAAATTCAAAAGTGTCTCTTAGACTGTAGCTCGTCAGTTCCCTCCGGATGGGCTCAATAAGTTTTGCTAGCCATCGCGCCAATTTTTGGTATGGTGTATCTACCATTGAGACGATTGGACGTATTGGGACACCCTCCTTATGAGTTTTCGGTAAGCCATACATGTGGGGAAGTCGCGATCCCCGGGGGCGTAACGGAGTCATAGTTTTGGCATCCATCAATCCGGCCTTCACTAGCTTCTTCAATTCACGGACTATTAACTTCTCTATCTGTTCAGTTTTGTCTCGGTTTGTTACATCCTGAACAAAACGACTAGAATCCGCAAGGATTGATTGGACTTTCTGAATGTACTGTTGCTTTTCCAAAATCACAACTCCTGATCCCTTATCTGGTCGCAGTATTACGAGATTTTCATTTCGCCGCAGTTGCTTCAACCATTCCCAATGATCCTTCGTAAGGATTCTGCACTTTTCAGTTTCACTGACACAGAATTGGTTAGCCACATCTACCATTTTTGCTCTAAACCAGCCGCTTGCGTCCTCGCTGACCGGTGTTAAACTGGACTGTTTTTCGTACAGATGCTCAAACTGAGCTTCAATTCCTATTCTGTCACACCTGTTTGGTGGAACCGAAAAATTGAAACCATCGCACTGTTTTCCACTCATTGTATGTAAACAGCTGAGGAGAATACGCGAAATTACTGAATTCAGTAAATTCTGTTATAATGTTCTTTCTTCTTGCTTTATTGAAATTCGTGAAGGGAAATGCCTGCATGAAATTTCTAAAGAAACGCCTCCCTCTTGATACATTTCGCTCATTGAACAAATTAGGGGAAATACGCTGTTGCATTGCTCGTGAGACAATGCGTGCGATTGTTTACCGTGAATGCCTGCGAACGTCAACTTACCCGCGTCAATTTGTGAAGTCATTGCGTAAGGACAATTTACCCGTCAATGCCCGAAACTTGCGAAGAATAACAAAATCCCACATCGAAGCGAGTGCTCAGCACATTGATGAATTAAACGCCAGGTTGAGATGTGTGGACCAAGTACCCAATTGCTTAAACATTGTATGCCGTGTAAAATTCTTCAACTTCCTTCGCACTTTGTTGCTAAAAACGCGTTCAAATACTAGAAAGCATCTAATGAGCTCCATGTCACGGGATTGTTTCAACGATCAGTTGCCGTTAGAACCTGAGAAGTATGTGTTAAATCAATCAACCACTCCGTTGAGTCGTCACCAACTTGAAGCTTTATCCCTTGGTTTCAATTTTTCGGTTCCACCAAACAGATGTGACAGAACAGGAATTGAAGCTCAGTTTGAGCATCTGTACGAAAAACAGTCCAGTTTAACACCGGTCAGCGAGGACGCAAGCGGCTGGTTTAGAGCAAAAATGGTAGATGTGGCTAACCAATTCTGTGTCAGTGAAACTGAAAAGTGCAGAATCCTTACGAAGGATCATTGGGAATGGTTGAAGCAACTGCGGCGAAATGAAAATCTCGTAATACTGCGACCAGATAAGGGATCAGGAGTTGTGATTTTGGAAAAGCAACAGTACATTCAGAAAGTCCAATCAATCCTTGCGGATTCTAGTCGTTTTGTTCAGGATGTAACAAACCGAGACAAAACTGAACAGATAGAGAAGTTAATAGTCCGTGAATTGAAGAAGCTAGTGAAGGCCGGATTGATGGATGCCAAAACTATGACTCCGTTACGCCCCCGGGGATCGCGACTTCCCCACATGTATGGCTTACCGAAAACTCATAAGGAGGGTGTCCCCATACGTCCAATCGTCTCAATGGTAGATACACCATACCAAAAATTGGCGCGATGGCTAGCAAAACTTATTGAGCCCATCCGGAGGGAACTGACGAGCTACAGTCTAAGAGACACTTTTGAATTTGTCAACAAGATAAGTAATTTGAATGTAAAGGGAAAACACATGGTTTCTTTCGATGTATCATCATTGTTCACGAACGTACCTTTGGAAGAAACACTAGATATAATAGCCAGACACGCTGATAAAGTTGGGTTCCCAGCGCTCCAGCTCAAATCATTACTGCGCCCATGCACAAAAGATATTCAATTCCGGTTCAATGGAACCCTGTATCGACAAATCGACGGCGTGGCCATGGGCAGCCCACTGGGCCCAGTTTTGGCTGATATCTTCCTCGGAAACTTGGAAAACACTGTGTTAGCTTCTTACCTACAAAATGTACACCTTTATTGCCGGTATGTAGACGACACATTCACCGTCGTTGACACACCTGAACAGGCGGCGCACTTACTGAAACTGATGAATATTTGCCATCCAGCCATCAAGTTCACAATGGAAAACGCGTCCGACGGACCTTTCGACTTCTTAGATGTTAACTTACAGAGAAAGCCAGATGGTACACTCGTTCGATCTGTGTACAGAAAAGCAACATGGACGGGGCAATACTTGAACTTTAATAGCTTTTGCCCAATGAACTATAAACGAGTTCTAGTACGTACCACTTTTGCTAGAGCTCGCCAAATTTGCTCATTAGACACAATCGAACATGAACTAGAACGAGTCACCTTGACGCTACAAGAGAATGGGTATCCAGCGCGAATTATAACTCGGCACGCGAAAGTACGATCCGGAGATAAACCACCAACAGATGTCCCAAAAAAGAAGTATTCATTACACTGCCCTTCAAAGGAGATCAAGTTGACCGAAGATGCAGGCATCGCCTCCGTCAATCGATTAAGAAGTGTTACCATGCGGCTGAGCTAGTGGTATTGCATCAAGTCAGAAGGCTGCTCTGTAAATCCAACCTGGACAGACCAGACTCCCAAGTTACCGCCTCTTGCATTTACCTCTTTAATTGTACTTGCGGTAGCAAGTACGTAGGCCGAACTGAGAGAAGGCTGTCAGCGAGGATTGCAGAGCATGTTCCGCGAAACATGATTGCTAAGGGTCCGAAGCTACCAAGTAGCTCTATTGCCCGCCACATACTAGACTGCCCTGAATGCCAGAACCCACGTGGCAATTTCAGGGTAGTTAGCAAACAGGCTAATCCCCGTTTACTACAGTTTGCGGAGGCGGCAGCAATTCGGCGGCTGAAGCCAAAGCTATGCAAGCAAACGGATTTCGTGACCACACTAGCCCTACCCTGGTAAGGCTAGCGATTGCGTTTTCATCGGAACAGGTCACGTGAGCCTAAAGACCTTCGACCGCTTTGAATTTTTTGCTGTTAACATCGCACTGTTTTCCACTCATTGTATGTAAACATCTGAGGAGAATACACGAAATTACTGAATTCAGTAAATTCTGTTATAATATTAATCTTCGTTTGGTCAACGGCTGAAAGTCTTCCTGATTGTACTTTCGGTATTAAATCACGTTTCTTCTACATTATTTTTCTGTTGCGCTGTATTTAGCTATCAACTTCCTCCTTTTCGTTGCAGATGAGCGACCTTACGTATGCAAATACTGTGAGAAAACCTTTTCTCTGTTGGTTAGGCTCCAGGACCACGAAAAGTTTGTTCACTTGGGTTAGTTGGATATTGTGTGCATCATTGGTTTGCATTGCATTGTTTCTGCCGCAGCAGTTTAATGTCTGCTTGGAGCCAATGGAATGCGCGGTTCTTTCGGCAGTTCCACCAGTCTATATTTCAAATGGATATAAGTATGGTCTTTTCCTTGGTGGACAACACATTTAACAATTAGTTATAATGTACACAACAGCTTACTGCAGTAATTTTTCCTCGAATTAGCGTGATCATTTTTTTGTTTTCATAAATTTCTTCTTAACTTTTTTATGCAAGGTATAGATTCTTGTTTTCGGCCATATTTTCTAACTGTTGCCTCTGGGAATGCAGCATATGGCTTACATCTATATGCACGCATACCTTTCACGTTGGCAGCAATTCATTCATCAGAAACGTCCGCTTTTACCTTTTTTATCATTTTCAGCGGGGCATTTATTTGCGTTCACGCACAGAATTTGTCATGGGTTCGATCCTCCGTAGAGGACCGAAGGATGCGCGCCACTGATGAGCCCCAATAGGGCGAAACGGCCGTCTGACGCTTTCCGGATAGGTAGTTGACTTACTAAGTTGTCCGTCGAGTGCGACGAACAAAAATACTCACAAAAATCCTCCTACTCATAAGTACAACAACTTAGCCCTTACGGATTCCATAAATGCTATGTCGATTCATAACTGCCGTAACTGGGAAGTCGTGCCACCGGAAGGCCAACCGCTGTCATCTGCATGGCAGTGGAGGATGAGTCGGGCTATATCGCAGTTAGCAAACAATTCGTGATGGTCGGCTACCGTCCTCCATGGCGCAGTTGCATAAGCTGCGGGCTAGTTGGCACAAGCCACTAGCAGTCATGGATTCGGTCCTCCGTAGAGGGCCGAAGGATGCGCACCACTGACGAGCCCCAATAGGGCGAAACGGCCGTCTGGTGCTTTCCGGATAGGTAGTTGACTCACTGAATTGTCCGCTGAGTGCGACGAACAAAAATTTACGTTCTTTATTTGTTTGCACAATTAATGTTTATCTATATTTATTATATTTATTTGAATGCATACTGAAGCATTTTAAAGGTAGAAATTCCATAACATGCAATAAATGTTTATTGCGGAAAATGGGGAAATCCGACTTTCGCGTAAAGGGTTTTTCTTTCCTCGGCTATGGTTTGAATTTGCATTTTCGCACTACAGACTTATGGAACGCTTTCGATTCTCTTGTTTGCATTACTTCGGTATGTTTTGTCAGCCGTCCTCGCTATCAGGCTACGCGTCACACTCCTCTATTTCAATTCGACAATATATACTCACCGTTGTTTATCACCGTGTAGCTTTGCGGCTTTACATACCTTATCAAGATGCTATTTCTGTGTTCACACATTTGCGCAAATCATTTTGATGTCAGTGAGTGTTGACACGAATTATCAGGAAATTCGAAACCTCAAAACTGGCTTTCAGAGACGACGGATTCCGGACCGTGCGTACTCCCTTGACGTTAGACACGTTTGCATAATACTGATAAGCAATTAATGTGACCGGCTTAGCTATTCTTGTCCATCTCTCTTCGCCGTCTAGTTAGATGCAGAGTGGCTCCATCTTGAAATACATTGCCTGAGCGCAGGGATCATCTGGCAAGGTCTAACACCTAGGAATTTATATCTGGAGTTGGGTTGGTAGTTTTGTCTTTGGTGTTCCGTCCATTGTTCGGACCGGGCGATGATGAATATTGTGGGTACTGCGAAACTTCCAAAGTTGACCACTGTCATACCGTGTAGGGTCACTATGTAAACCCTATGGAACCAGACCTGTGCATGTTGACCACCTCTGCAAGTTGTATGTTGAATCACTTAGGTTATGACAGTCAGTAATAATTCAGCCTCCATAATTTGACTATTTGAGGGCTTACGATCCAATGGTTCCCGAATGGCTCGTTTGCTCTGATAACACGATGTGCAGGGGGACTGCAATGTGTAGACTTCTGACCCCCAAATCAGTGAACTTTACGTTTGAGGATACAATATGTTCTCTGTGTGTATGTGTATGTGCGTTATTGTCCCGGTCGTCAGTGTTTACGCACCCGCGTATTGCCTAGATCATTGTGTGCCCCCACAAATCGGTGTCCAACGAATGACCTAGAACGATTTGTGTTCCACATCCCTGACCTGTCAAGCCTTCGCCTACTCCTACGAACGTGTGTCCATTCATCGCACTGGCCGCATTCAGGTGTTTGAGTGACTGCGAAAACCTCGATTATGCGCCAGGTCTAAGCACCAGTTCAGTAGCATCTTGGATTGCGACGAGATTGACCTTTACTCCCACATTGATTGCGGAGCATATCTCCGGCTCTATTTGGTGTCGGCATGAGCATGAAACCAGTTGAGGTTACTTATTGTATGTAGTAAATATTACGTGACTAGAACCGTAGATCTTAGATCCACTCCGTGCTTTGAACAGTTTGGATCGTTCATTACAAGTAATACAACATTATGGTCCAAAGAAAAGAGCTCAGTTGACTTTAAATGTAAGGATTAGTCGGGTACATTTTCTTGAAAGCGGTGGCCAAAGAACGACAGCAACGCATGTTGGAATTAGCAGGACAACAGTTAGCAAAATCCAAAGAGATGAACGTGAGTACTTGGAGAGATACGACACAATGAAGTCATTGAGGTTACGTTTCGCTGGTTCAAATAGATGCGGGGCAGCTAACACTCAAATTTCTGGGCTGGTGATTCATGAAATTGCTAAGAGGTTCACATAAGTATTTTGGGTTACAATTTTCCAGACATGCAATAGTTGGCTAGGAAAATTTAAAATCCGATATGAAATTTCCCCATGAGTTTTGTGTGGTGAATCTAACAAAGTGCCTGAAGAGTTTGTTCAAAACGTCATCGCAAAATATTCCAACTTCAGCAAGGGCTTCAACAGTGATGACATCTTCAACGCTGACGAGTGCGGTCTCTTTATCAAAACTATGCCTAACAGAAGCCTTGTTAATGAGGGTGACAAATATAAGAGTGGAAAGCATTCTTAAGAACGTTTCACAGTTCTCTTTTGCGCCAGCTTAACTGAGTGGAAACTAAAGGCGCTGGTCATTGGTGAATCAGTTTGATCATGTGCGTTCAAAAATATGAATCCTGAAAACCTACCAATCACGTGGAGATCAAACCGATCTGCGTGGTTCACTGGTATCGACAAGAAAATAATGATGAAGAAACGCTTCATTATCCTATCAGTCAACAACTGTCCTAGTCACACCTATGCAACAAATTTCACAAAATTTGCGCTTGTGTTTCTGCCTCCAAATATGACCTCACAAATTCAACCTTTGGACCAAGGGATCAACCAAATATTCAGTATACACTACCGAGCCCAGTTCATGCAGTGGGCTATGGCAAAGTTGTATACTACTAATTTTCCTGCGGAAGGAATTGCATGTGTTGCTTCAGTTACTGCTTTGGATAAGTTCTGCTTGGTTCAAAGCTCAGCCAGAAATAATACAGAAAAGCCGGATTTGTTCAATCTCTGGAGCGAGATGCCGTCGCCTTAGTAGACATTCCATCTCCATTGGTAGAATTCGACGGAATATATTTTACTGAGTTTGTTGAAATGGATGATTATGCGGAATTTGACACTGGACCAGACCCAGATGCTATTTTCCAAGTTACTGACTGTGGTACTCCCCTACAGACACAAAGATGAAGCACCTGATGATGCTGATGAAGAACGGCTGAGTGACGATTATTAGGAAATCACTGAAACTCCAAAATAAGATGAAGTTAGATACCTTTTAATGCAAATGAAATCCTTTGCTGTGGAAAGGTGTCAAAACATGCAGAGTAGTGTGGCTTATGCTGAGAGCGCTGTTTTTAGTTCCTTGTCATACGCGAAAGACTCTCTTCAAAAACTGATTTAGCTTGCGTAATGCGCACTGCGTTTTTTGAGTTATTATAACACTCTATGGTTGAATTGGGTTTTCTTGTTACCTAGGCCTATCTTCAGATAAATTTCACACTATACTACTCGCAACGGTAAAGCACAGTTGTTGTGGAGTTCTCCGAGCTGGGCAATTTGGTTGCAGACGTTTCGCCACCATTCGAGGTGGCATCTTCAGTGCGGGATTGATAACAGTGAAGCAGCAGTAGCTGGTAGAAAGCAAACCCAATACTGGATACTGTCAGTAATCACTCCATTCCTTATATAGGCATACGGGGCTACTAATTTTGCCTCAATTTCATTGGTGAATCCTTGTGTTCAGCGGTTGTGCTCGAGGCATTGTCATTGGCTGCGGAAATGTTGTTGCGATGTTGTTGGACTTATCGCACTCGGATTAATGCAAGAGGTGTGGGTGAGTAGTCTGGGCTCATATTGACCATGCTGTTCATTGTGCGTATGTTGCATTAGGTTCATTCGGACAACGGTTGTTGATCCTCTTGCACTCTCTCGGTCTCAGCGGTTGATATATTGGATGGAGGTCGATATACATGTTGAGTGAGTTCGTGGTTGAGAACCAGGCTACGAGAAACTCCCTTCTTGTGTTTCTTCTCCGGTCAAAATCTCTACCTTGTTCCATTCGAACCTGTGTCCCTCTTCATCCACGTGTGCAGAAACCAATAAGGTTGCGTAATGCTTCTTGCACGCTCTTTGGTGTTCATGTATCCTGGTGGACAGCTTTCTTCCTGTTTGTCCCACGTAGTGCTTTTCACAGTTTGCGCAGTTTATTCTATGTACGACATTCCGTCGTTCTAGTGTCTCTCGTTTGAAGGTGCCACCTCGAATGGTGGCCAAACGTCTGCAACCAAGTTGCCCAGCTCGGAGAACTCCACAACAACTGAGCAAGCCTCCTGAGCTACCAATATTCCAATTCATTTCGAACGGTATAGCAGATCACTCCAAGTTTTGGTAGACAACCTCCGTATGTTGATCACTTCTCTTTGTTGACCACTTTGGTCCAGTCCCTTGAGTGGTCAATTTACGGAGGTTTTACTGTTGATCATTTGCAGGGCTTCTCACCGAGTTACCGTTTTGAACGTGTACCCAACGATTAGTACTCTTATGCAAAGGATGTGCTGGCTGTCTAGTTAGGACAGCTGTGGGGATCGAAGAAGTGAATGATGTACTCAGAGTAGATCACTAGAATGATTTGGAGGACGGAAATTGCAGCTACTTGAACACGAATCGAACAGCCTACGCTGTTGGTCACATCAATGATATGGTTCCCTCTATGCGATTGCACTGATTAGACATTCTGTGGCATGCTGGTATTGTTTTCATGAACATCTCGTTCTTCCTTATACACTGTGAATCATGGGGACAAGGCAAGATGTTGGCACATTACCTCGTTTGCAATACCCGCATGAAGTCGTCGTTCCCAACAGACTGGTTATACATTACATTTCACTTATTTCACTCATTGCGAGATAATTGGAAATAATTTGTCGGAGATCTCCATTGCGATTCCTTCATCATCATTATGAACTTTTGTACCATGATGCGGATACCCCATCCTAACAGATCTTGCACAGTTTTCCTTGTGTGATTCAACTTTGATTATTCACGTTTTGTTTCCCATTCCAGGATTGCGCCCCCATGCATGTGACGACTGCGGTAAATCGTTTCCTATTAAGAGCCATTTGCGAAGGCATATCAGTTCTGTTCATTGGAGTGAGTGTTTAACAAAAGATGCCACTCCGTTGTACCATCATCGACGGTTTTGTGTGATTTCATCCAAATCAACATTGCTTTGTTTTTACTTCGAAGCTAGATGTTATTGTGCAAAATGTTCCCATTTCTTATGCCAGCTAGTTTGCAGTGGACCGAATGAGCCTCGTTCATCATTTGACCCTCCCTTACTGGCCTCTGTTAGAACGTTTGTTTGTCTGTGTTTAAATATTTATGGCGAGATACTGCCTGATCATCGACTCGCTGCTTCCAATGTTGTGCCGTGGACTCATGTCTGCCATCGCCTCGTGGATGTCGGCTGGTAGCGAAGAAATGATCAGACCCGCAAATATAAGTGGCCTGATTGGTTTCATGAGAACAGTGCGACCATTGGCGCATTAGTGTCGATGATAAATGCAGCGTTCAGTGCACATGGGTTGATCCTGTCGACTGTGGGTAGTAATGTCACTTTCGGAAACTTCGTCGGTGATTGACTCGAGTGCTTCGTCGCATCAAGAATGCATAGTAGGTGGGGTGGCGGAGCAGATCGAATTCTTCGCCGAACGCCGCGAACCTAAGGGATTTTGAGACTCCTTTAAGGCGATGTATGGGCCCACCTTGCAACTGCTGAGTGCACTGGTAGATGCTACTTGAGGCGATGTCTGCACGCGGACTGCAGGCAGAATGCAGATCTGACGAATGCACTTGCATTGTCACTCGAACAACCGTTCGGACTGGGTTATGTTATACTGGTTGCAACTACAAGAGATGGTTGTAGCTCACCGACGCTGCATGAGATGGAGAGGGCACGTACTCAGTTGCGACACGCGAGATGCTCCGGACCTGACAACATAATTCCAGAAGTGTTGAAACACGACGGAGTGACTTTGAATTATGCGCTGTACCATTTGGTGCAACGCATGTTGTTTGAAGAATAGGTGACGGGTGGTTTGAAGTATGCCCCTGTGTACTGGGTGAAAGGGAGCAATCAATGTTGCTCGAATTGTCATGGTATCAACTTATCGCTCTGTTCGTTGAACCACACTAGCGGAAGAGCGATGTGAATTTCTTTCTGGCCGCATCACGTAAGATATGGTATTCGCAGCTCGTCAACTGCGGAATTGCCGTGAACGACACCATCCATCGTTCTCTCCGTTTGTCGAATTCATTAAGGTAGTATTTGACGTGGTGATCCGCGAGGCACGGTGGCAGGTCTTTGGTAGATTTGGTCATCCATGTTTAATTAAATGTTTGCATAATGTAATGCGTGCAGTTGAGTAGACAAATCATAAATAAATTTGATGTTGTTTCTGCGTTGAGGCCGGGGTATGTCTTTGCTCTTGTCCTGTTTAATGTGGTGTGTTTTTGGTGGTTGTGGTTTCGGTGCCCGTGTTGTTGGTTTGTTGCTGAGCGCGACTTCGAAGCTTTGAACGAGCCAGTCAATCGGACCCCACAAATCCGGCTACTGATTTTGATCCAATCCACCAGAGCAGCCTCAGCCTTGAGATTCAGGACAATACCAACACCAGCTTGGTCGCTACACGAAGCCACATCATCTCTGAATAGGTGCAATAAGAAAGCACTGCTAATGTCATCTGAAGGGGATCACGGAGCGAGCACAGAGCTCGAGTCCTGCAGACGGGTTTCTGATAGGCAGCAGATATCGATCTAGATCGTCTCTAAGGTTCGAGCAAGTGCTGCCTGTTGACCGATCTCTAATAATGTGCCTACGTTGAGGCATGCCAATCTGGGGAAGGATCGAGGGCTCCAAATTGTGGCCGATGAACTGGGCTTGACCGCCTGGTTGGACATGGGCTTGTCGACAGGCAGGACGGTCGCTCCGTGTTTACACGTGTCGAAACTAGGTGGGGGAAGACCAACAATTGTGGGGCTGAAAACGGGGGCTTATGAAGTTTGAACTGGACGATAAGGATAATAAAAAGTGTGATAGGTGGAATCAGAAGACGGTAAGTCTGGAGCATTAGGATCCAAACCCCCAACCACCCTGCTCGATGCGGTAGATAGGGTCTCGTTGATTATCTTATGCGCCGGTCGGAGCATCAAGTGGTGGTTTGAAAGGGATGTCATAGTTTTATTGCGGGGGCAGGATACTGTCATTTTGCTCAGGCCTATATAGGAGAACAATTATGGTTATGGTACTAAAGCAAAACCGCAAGGCAGTGGGTTTCGCAGGGGACCACAACGAGTCCGTTTTAGGAGGGCCAAGGGACTAAGTTTGTCTGACCAGCCTGGTATGAATGGCTCCCGATGTGCATTAAGCACCACCCAGCACTGCACAAGAGATCACTGAGGCGCGCAGACTATCGCACCACGGTCCTTATGATTGTATGGCACCGAAGCATCAGTTCACACAGCTGATTATTCTTATTATTATTTAATATTTTGAGTATCAAGCAGATATCCGTCGTTTACACTAAAGCCGAGCTCTCCGACTGCGGTGTTTGCTTTGACGTCATTCCAATCGATCTCTTTCTCCTTTGCGCTCTTTGAATGACGTACCTGAAGATGAATATTGGGTTCCCGATTAGTATCTAATGTTTCTGTGCTGTCTCTATTACCGATGGATGCCTCGCAGTCTGTATCTTCCATGTTACTTGATCCCCGAACATTGTAAGCCATTAATTCACACTACGAATCCTCGAATTTGGTGGCCATCATTTACTATCTGTTGTGTGGCGACTTTGCGGTCAATCATTCTACTCGACCATTCCCTATTCATTGTCTGTTTTCACTTCGTCGTTGGTCTCCATTTGATCGTTTTCGGTTCTTTACTTCAGAGCAACGACCCCATATATGTGAACATTGTGGCAGATCGTATTCTGAGAAGTGCAGTTTGCAAAGACACATCAGTTCTCTTCATTTAAGTGAGTGTGCAATTGATCGTGCCAGATACTCTTACTTTGTATCATTTGCGTTGGGTTACCTTTGTTGGTATCGTGTGCTTTTGGTGGTACCAATCCTGCTGTGAGTAATAGCTCTGTTTTTTTTACTCTATTGCTCAGAAACACAACAACTGGCTACCGTAAGCTGTAACGATCGAGCCAATTCGCTTCCGTTTCCGGATTAACTGTCACTGGGGCTGCGAGCATCCAGACTATGGCTGCACCCTAGCGAGGGATCATGAGTGACTTCCGCTGCACAACCCGCAGCACCATCCGCACACCACATTTCCAGTGTACACTAGATGGTATATGTATAGATGGTATATTTCTCGGCGATACGAGACATCCCATCCGCAGAAAACACATTACATCGTTTATCAATGCCTGGTTACAAAGGATTTCGAGATAAGTGAGTAACTGGTAAAATTAACAAATGAAGATATAGTCCTGCGTTCAAATAAAGTAATATTGTCGTCCTTTGGATTGTCTGCACGGAGCATGCTTCCATGCGAAGTATTCCCTCGAAATTTTCACCCGCACTTCCATGCGGACATGTATGTCAGCACCGCTTCAACGCATATCTATGTCTCTTTGTATGCATGGATTTCGGACGATCATGCACCCCAGCTCTTTCCATTATTCGGCCCATTTCGCGCCTGACACCTTTTCTTAAGGTTAGTGAGCACATGGCATTACGCCCTTTCCGTTGATAATTATTACTCTGGACACTTCAATCCTTCACCTCAGGAGATCAGCGCAGTCGTGGCCAACCATGGAATGAGGATGGATGAAACTATTAACTATTCAAACAATAACAATACATAAATTGGTTCCCAACAAGCTGCGATACGTTTCGTCCCACTTGGATCGATCATAATCTGTCGAGCACACATATTGTCACATCCAGCTGCGAGTCAGGATTGCTTCACGCCCGACCCACAAACCTACAGCTTGCACACCACTCCTATGAACAGATTGAAACATACATTACCAGACGTGGACAAGGCAGTGGTTGGACTGTAGCCAGTTCCACACTGGATGTAGAACCTCTTTCAGCCAGGCACTGTGCTCCCCGAGCAATATCTCATGGTGTGTTCTGGCTCGTAGCTCTTATGGATCACTGCTTTTGCATTTTTACATTGCACACATCCATCTGTCGTTCTCCTCGTGTTAGTTGTCCGGTTGCACCAATTTTTACCGGCACTGTTGTGTTCTTGGCTGCTGGCTAGGCACCACCTGGCTTTTTAACAGAAACTGACGAGCATTAAGGGAGTTAGCACCCTTTGGCTGGCAGCTTGGATCAGTTGATCCTGACGCAGACCAAAGCTTATTGGCTAACCAGTGAGTGGGGACGGTGATGATGTTTCATCTTGAACACTATCGATGAGGATGGTCTACCTTGTAGCCTGCCTGTGAGTGCTAGGTCATTCCCTTTTTGACCATTGATTCGACCACAGTATTTGCTTGTTTCTACTGTTTGCCAGGTGTTCAGTACAGTTTTCGCCTGAGGCTTTCGTTTTCTGATCCAGTAAGCCGGTCGGTCAGCATATGCAGTAGAAGCAGTTTATCCGTACAATCAGCGGAAAACATAAAAACCCAGCAATACTCAATCCGTGTTCCTATCAGGTGTCGTGTTGCCCTCTGGGAAGCAAGAAGACTGGGCCGCGATCAGGAAGGCCTTTTTTAAGATTACGCTCGAATATTTATAGAGTATATACGCTATCTACAACAGTCCGTTTCAATGGCTCATCCCTGTTATTTGTATTGTTTCGCTGGCTCCTTTTCTATTGGTTTATGCTTGGTCGCCACGTTCCTTCTGTCTAAAATCACCTTGACTTTCTTATTCTATGCATGGTTGGCGGGATTGAGCTCGCGCGTTTCTTCCCTCGGTCCAATGCCACAAGCCTTAGCTCAAGGGTGCACGAGTATGCGCTCCTTCGCCTGCTGGCGGCTGATTGGTCACTTGCACGTTCAGTGAATGGTCGCAATATGGACGCGATCACGGGCGAACTATTTCCTGATTGGCTGACCAACCTGCTTTCGGCAACATGCTCACTCCCTATCGGTCTGGCCTGTGATGTTCGATCGACACTACAGCATTTCCAGGCCCCATCACATTCTTTCCTTTTTCGTTTTTTAGGATGGCCTTACAATATGTTCCGTATTGCCTACCACTTCGTATGCGTTTAATTTCCTGGGCTTGGATAACAGTATTCCTCTCCGGTTGTTGTTGCTGACGCTCTCTCTGCGGTGTCTACTTCTGACGCACCCATCTCAGTTGCACCCGATTCCGTCGAATGAGATTGCCCCAACCTTGACTTCATGGCTCCTCTCTCCCTTCCGGCCTTCGATCATTCCTTTCCGCCAGCATGCACCGGATTCCGGTAATGGCTGCAGCCATACTTGTTCTCCTATACCTAGTGGGGGAAGGCTTTTCGATCCTCGATCATAGTACCTTTTTGCCTTAGCATTCTGTTCCGTAGTCGGTCTTGTAGAACATTGGACGGTGCTATCTCGGGCTGCAGTAAAGTTGTAGCAGTTGGTATTAACGTTCTTGTTCGGCGACTGAATAGACGCTGTGCAGGACTCACTCCGATATCAGTAGATGGTGTATTCCTTCCATCCAGTAGCATTATGTACGGATCTTGCTGGATCTCCTTGGCTTTTGTAAGCACTTTCTTCACCTCCTTCACTGCGGACTCAGCCTTACCTTTTGATCGGCTATGGTATGGGCTGGTTAGCCAGTGACGGTAACCCCACTTCTTGCTGAATGCACGAAACTCTGCACTATTAAATTGCGGCCCGTTGTCTGAAATCACCACCTCGGGTATTCCATGCCGAGCGAATTGTCACCGCAATTTGTTCACCACGGATCGCGTACTAGTCGACGTATGTGCATCGATCTCGAAGTTGTCACTAAAATAATCTACCACAATCAAACAGTTCCTTCCATCGTGAGAAAAATGCCTAGTGCAATCATCTGCCAGGGTCTGTAAGGAACGTCGCGTGGTATCATCGGTTCTTTTGGCTGGCGTACGTCGTGTGCTCTGCATGCTACACTATTTGGGACGTAGTCACATATTTGGCTGGTCATTCCGGGCCAGAACTACAGCTCTCTAGCTCTTGCCAAGCAGTTGTTGGTTCCTGGATGTGCACAGTGTATCAGCTCCAGCATCGAACGCTGCAGTGCCTTTGGAACCGCTATCCTGTTGCCTTTGAATATTAATCCATCCTGAGTAATGAGTTCGTCACAAAAAATTGGAAGAATGGAGTCAGCTCCTTTGGTAACTTTTTCTTGTCTTCGGGCCATCCGTTCGTGATTGTGTACTTCAGTAGCCTACACAATTTGTTCTTCTCAGTGTATCGTTGGAGATGGTGCAAGCGTTCCTCAGTGACGGCGATCAGCTGTGTTGCATGGACAAAATCTGGGTCTTCTTCCTTTCCTGGCGGGTCTGACAGGTGCGCTCTTGACAGCGTGACCGCAATGTGCATCTGGGCTCCTGGCCGGTAGACAATCTCTAGATCATGCTTCTGCAGACGAATAAGCATACTTTGCAGACGGCGTGGAACAACATGGAGAGGCTTGCTGGCGATCGACACTAGTGGCTTGTGGTCGGTAAAGGCGGTGGATTTGCGGCTAAACGTATATTCATTGAAACGCTCCACGGCATAAACCAATGTAAGCATTTCTTTCTCTATTTGCGCGTTACGACGCTCGGTCTCTGTCAGCGTCCGGCTGCGAAAGTCGATAGGCTTACTGTTCTGCATGAGTACGGCTCCGATACCATACTGACTGCTGTCACACTGGATCTCGAGCGGGAGTGCTGGGTTATAGCAAGCGAGAACGGGGGCGCTCGTGATCAATTCCTTTATTTTCTGAAATGCTCTCTCCTGCTCCGCGTCCCAATGCCACTTCTCACTCTTATGCGTCAGTTTTCGAATTGATACCATTACATCGGCTAATCTGGGCAAGAAACGACTTAGGTAATTCACCATCCCATTCAGCCTGCTAACGGCTTTCACGTCAGTAGGAGGAGGCATCTGTTTGATGGCCCTGACTTCCTCTGGGTCTGGTTTCAGTCCTTCGAAGCTTAGCACGTGTCCATGAAACACCACTTCCGTCCTACGCAACTGGATCTTCTCTCGTTTCAGTTTGATGTTCCTTTCAAAACAGCGATGCAAAAATCGGTGAAGGTTCTGGTCGTGCTTCGCTCGCGTTGCGCCAAATACCAATAGGTCGTCTGGTACACAGGACGTTTCTGGTAAATTGTTTAAAGCCCGCACCAGTCGTTTCTGGAATATCTCGCTAGATACCTTCAGTCCAAACGGTAAACGAATCCAGCGGAAACGCTCGAAAGGTGTCCCAATCGTGGTCAGGTGGCTCGACTGTTCGTCAAGTAATACATGCCAACACGCAGAAGCAAGGTCGACTTTAGTGAATATTCTAGCTCTGGATAGCACCGGAAGTACGTCATCTAGCGTCGGTATCGTATAATGCTCCCTCCTGAGTGCGGCGTTAAGTGGTTTTGGATCAATGCACACGCGTACTTCTTCAGATTTCTTAGTTACGATCGCCACCTGGCTAACCCAATCTGTTGGCTCCTCAACTTTGGCTGTTGCACCCAAACTAGCAGGACGCTGCACCTCGTCTAAAATTTTCTCACGTAAGGCAATAGGCACCTTTCTGATCGGCAACACTACCGGCTTAGAGGGGTTCGATTAAAGATAAATGAGCACACACTTCCAATCTGCCTACAACCCCGTCAAACACGCTTGGGTAGCTGTCAACAATATCTATGTTATCTTCACACGAATGGACGAAACTTTCATGGTTAAAAGAGACAAAACCGAGACTCTCTGAATAGAATGAATACCCAGAATGGACATAAGGTCTCCTGAGACTATCAGAAAATCGAGTTGGTGTTCTGTGCAGTTTTCCGGATTGATGCCCTTCAACGTGGCAGTACCTTTCGGCAGCAGCT